AATTTAAATTTAATTTTAAATTTTCATGTTTTTACACTTTTGAAAATATATGTGATCACCTGAATGTTCCTTGATGTGAGTTAAAAAATAAATAAAGATGGAAGTGAATTTTTTTTTAATTATTTCCAAAAAATTAAATAAATTAAATGTACTTTGTGAACTTTGAGTTGAATACCTGGCATTGTATCATTCTTGTGAACTCTTCAGTTTCATACGTTAATTTCAATTTCAAATTTAATTTTCATATTTTTACCCTTTTGAAAATGTTTGTGAATGTTCCTTGATGTGAGTAAAAGAATAAAGACAGAAGTGTATTTTCAAAAAAATACTTATTTAAAAAATACAAAATTTAATATTAACGCAATCTTCAAATTGCACCGAAATTATACCATAGTTAAAAAGCGCATCGCAATCTTAAGATGGCCGCACATTCTTTAGATTGTTAAAATACGCTCTTAAGATTGTGCAGATTGGTAAATTGTGCGGAACATCAACACTCTACAGCCTGTTCTATGCACTTTACAACTATCATTACCAAAAATAGATCCGAGATCGTAGAGAAGCATTCTCGGCTTCGTGGGAAGTATTCAGTGCAAGCTGCAGAGTGCACGTCGAGCTCCAACACAAACAAACTAAGACGATGATGAGATGAGTTGAGCTTTAGTTTTAGTCAGAATATTACGGCACTTGCAACACGAATAGGTCATATAAGTACCGAAGATTAGACATGCTATTAGAGAGTAGGATACAAAAAAAAGAAGCAGGGGAGATAAAGACAACAAATGTTAGATAGGAAAGAAGGGGCAAATCCACCATAGCACCATAGCCAACAACGTTCAGTGAGCAGAGTGGCAGTTTCCTGCACATCAACATTTCACCTAGAAGCTGCATATATATAAGGACACAAAGATATTTGTGAGGCATCATGGTGAAATCAGCCGCTCGTCAAAATAAAGGAGTCAAAGAAACTGGCATTTTTCTGGTTGTTGGGCAATTTTGTTCAAATTTTCTTTTTTTAGCTCAACATCTTTTATCTCCATTTAAAAACACTTTTCTAAGTAGATTATGCAAAAAAAAATGTTGATTTAAGCCTCAAAATGTAAATTTGCAGTTCCTAAGGACTCTCAAACTTCGGAAGTTGCCAAACTTTGGCCGCCATTTTCGCGCTAATTTTTTTCACCATAAGAAAGGCAAATGAACAAGCTTTAAGATGATACCAAAAACCCCATGCGTAAATCTCCCAGTGGGCTTTTGACACTTGCGACTGGCTGAATTCTTTATCTTTGACCAAGAACATGATGCAGAGAAAAGGCTTTAGAAATGTACGCTTATCCAAATACAAAAGTGTTCTTTTAATATTTGTTGTTATCAGTTGTTATTTGTAGTTTTCTGTTGTTATTAGTTTTTATCTCAAAAAAGATAAAAACCACATTTTTACGTGTAAAGTCCACCGACCAAGCATCTGGCACGAAACAAAAAACAAAAACAAGAAGTTGAGAGGAAGGAAAAAAAAAGAAACAAAGCATCAACTTCTCTCACTCGTTGAGCTCCACGGGCACTTTGGAGTTGAGCAGGAACTTGTCGGTGTACTCAGAGATCTCGGGCCACTGGGCGGCCTTGTGCCTGTTGTAGTCCTGCTCCATGGCCTTGACCTGAGCGTACTCCGCGTACGTCTTGGGCCGGATCGTGGTCAGAACGTTGGTCTCGTTCAGCTGGTGGGTGGAGCCGAACCACGTGTTGAAGTCTGGGGGAAACGTAGACAGTGACACTTGAGTTTAGTTTTAGTAAGAGTTTTTTTTTACGGCACCTGCAACACAATAAGGTCATATATAAGTGCAGAAGAATAGAGGTGTTACAAGAGAGTAACAAACACAAAAAAGAAAGAAGAGAGATCAGGACGATAGAAGTTTGATAGGAAAGAAGGAACAAACCACACCAGAGCACCCGCCAACCACTCACTGACACTGAGTGAAATGGAAAATGCGTTAACCTTAACTCGTAGGAGAGGAGAACTAGTTTTGGTTGAGTGTGAGCTTGAGTAATTGTAAATAGGATAGTCAAGTGAGTACTCTAGTATGAGTACTCTAGTACCTGAGTATTGGAATACTGTACCCACAGGCTCCAATGTCTATTTGCTGATGACGCTTCACTAAATGTTACCAATTTATAAACAATAAAACACCAACAGAAGCAGAGATATTAATAATAGTAAAATCATCAAATTTTAGATCTTAAAACCACTGAGATGATTTCCGAAGTGCATACAGAAGGAAAAAAGGAAAATAATTCAGGGCCACAACAAACAAAAACTAGGAAACTTGCAAAATCTTTGTTTCACTAAAAGCCTTCTGGACTGATCACCAACAACAACTAAAAGATAAGACAAGATAAAAAGATGACACTTTATTATCCCAGAGGGAAATTTTTCTTGGCTGTACAAGACCGTAAAATCATTCTTGTTTGTTTAAGGAGAGGTTTTACTCACCCTAACACACAAACCTATTGACTAAAGTATAGGAGTAGACACACTCAAAGAGACTTTCTGGGGTTCCTCAGTTGGTAGTAGCCTTCACTTGGTGAAAAAATGCTTGCACATTCCTATCTAGCAGAAATCTGGGTTAGCCCGCTTGTCCTTAAAAGCGACCAATTAAGAGACTCACTGGGGTTCCTCTGTTGGTAGTATCCCTCACTTCTCTAGCACACAGACCTATAATATTGACTAAAGTTAAGGAGTAGACTGGCTCAATGAGACTCACTGGGGTTCCTCTGTTGGCAGTAACCTTCACTTGGTGAAAAAAATGCTTGTACATTCCTAGCACACAGACCTATTGACTAAAGTATAGGGGTAGACACAATAAAAAAGACTCACTGGGGTTCCTCTGTAGACTAAAGTATAGGGGTAGACACAATAAAAAAGACTCACTGGGGTTCCTCTGTAGACTAAAGTATAGGGGTAGACACAATAAAAAAGACTCACTGGGGTTCCTCTGTCGGTAGTATCCCCCACTTCCCTAGCACACAGACCTATAGTATTGACTAAAGTGTAAAGGAGTAGACAGGCTCAATGAGACTCACTGGGGTTCCTCTGTCGGTAGTATCCCCCACTTCCCTAGCACACAGACCTATAGTATTGACTAAAGTGTAAAGGAGTAGACTGGCTCAAAGAGACTGTAATATTGACTAAAGTATAGCGAGGAGTAGACACACTCGATGAGACTCACTGGGGTTCCTCTGCTGGTAGTATCCCTCACTGGGGCGGCCATGTTTCATCACCACCATGGACGGGACGTTGGTCGGGTTCCTCTTGTACACGTCAATGTTCAGGTAACGGTGGACGTCCTCTTTGTGGAAGTGATCGATAGTTCTCTGCCCTGAGGGGGGAAAAAACTCACATGTATGTGAGGCACTGTGGTGAAATCAGGCGCTCGTCAAAATAACGAAATGTAAGAAATCTGTATTTTATTTTTAGGCCCGTTTGGAAACCTTTTTCGAATTTTTCTTTTTCGGCTCAACATTGTATGTCCATTCAAAATCACTTTTATGTGTAGATTTTAGGGAAAAACGTTGATTAAGGTATGAAAAATGTGAATTTGCATTTTCCAAGAACTCTTGAGTAATGAAAGTCACCAAACTTTTGGTGGCCATTTTCTCGCTAATTTTACTTCTGAAACTAGGCGACCCCACCTCCTTCAATCGCAAATATCTCAACTTCTTTTCAAGATAAATGGACATTTTTTTCATCAAATGCAAGGCAAATGAACATCCTGGCAACCCTGAAAACTGGCAGATAGAAAGCAGACAGGAAGACCATTGAGAGGTAGACCAGAGCAGTGTATGTAAGAACCCACCAGTCTTCTGTGGTCCCCAGCGTAGACTGGCCCCGAGCCGGCACGTGTTGTGGTCAGCAGGGGGGTCTCGCTTCCACTGGTCATCCACCCAGCAGTGGGGGTGTGTCTTTGGAGGGTTGTCTCGGAACAAAAACTGGCTCGTGTTTGTCGCGTAGCGGTCGATAGGAGCTGGCCGGATGACGGGGCCGTTCCTTGAGCCAGGACCAGCGTTCAGGTCTTCTTTCATGAAAAACGGGGCCGAGTCCTGGGAGAAAACAGAGAGCAAGTTTGGTATAAGTGTTAGTGAGAGTTTTACAGCAATTACAACACAAATAGGTCATAGTTTAGTTTTAGTAAGTGTTTTACAGCACTTGCAACACAATAAGGTCATATAAGTGTCGAAGATTAAAGGTGTTATGAAAGAGTAACCTATAGGATCAAAAGAAGGAGGAGAGATCAGGACTATAGATGTTTGGTACCAAACACGTGAAAGGGGAAACTATACCAGAGCACCCGCTAACCACCCAAAGAGTATAGCAAGATTCTGCCATACAAAACTTTGACAAAGTTCCAAAACCTGAAAGTGGCGTCTTCCAGTTATACTCTGACATGGCCTCAGGTCAAAACAATCGACGAAAAGGGAACAAAATGCCACCAGAATATATTTATTTAGGTCACAGAATTGACAGACAGACAGACAGACAGACAGACAGACAGACAGGCAGGCAGGCAGACAGACAGACAGACAGACAGACAGACAGACAGACAGACAGACAGACAGACACACAGACACAGACACACAGACAGACAGGGGGGAAAGGTGGTTTGGGGGGGATAATTAGAGAGAGAGAGACAGACAGACAGACAGAGAGGGGGATCTTAAGATTTCAGGTTTTTCTAATGTTCTCCGGCCCAAGACTTCCCACGGTACCTGCTTCATGTTCTTCAGCTGCTGCTGTGTCAGGACTGTGTACGGGTCATTGGGCGTTCTGGGCCGACCGGTCAACATGTCCACTTTCACATTTTCCAGATGGGCATGCCTAAAAAAGGGGGAAAGGGGGGGGGGGGAATGGTCAGGACCATGAATATATGTGAAAGGTGCAGACAAAATGAGTTACTTCTCTGATTCGAGACCTATGGAAATAGATATATGTCATGCTTATAGGTGACGTTTTTACAATCTATAAGTATGAAATGATAAAAGTCTTATTATACTTTAAGAATATTGCATCGATAGAAAATCTACAAAATTTGACCCTAGTGTCGATTTTCGGTCAATATCTCCGTGGGTTGTGAGAAGTAACTCATTTTGTTAGCACGCCTCACATAAGGAAAACTTAATTAAATAAATTCCTAAACCTAATGATGCTATTAAAAAAAAACACCAAAAAAACTTTTCCATTTGAATATATGAACTTTTACCAAAATATATTGGATCAAACAGTGAAGCGGAATAAAAAGGAACTTATCTGTTCTTCAAGGCAAACTTTCAACAGTTTATACATTTGTCTTGTTCTGAAAACACCCTTGTTTGTTAACTCATTCAAATGACCAGGTCCAGACAACATAATTATTGGTAGAGCAAAAATTATGTCTAGAGGGTATGAATTTGGGACAACTTTCCCAAGATCATAAGCATTGAGCAAAAAACATACATGTGATATCAAAGTAGGCCTATATTAATTTATCAATTTTCTGCTGAAAGGGATCATTACAGCAATGAAACAAAGTCCACATGCCTTAATAAAGCTCTCAATTACTGACTGTTTTCCTGGGATTTGGGCTTATTTATTCACATTGGCACAAAGAGTATACATAATATATTACATACACATATACACAACACTTTGTTCCCATCAGCATTGAGCTTTTTTTTTTTGGCAATTAAAAAAAAGAGGGAAGGGAGGGATGCCTGCATCTCCAAAGAAATCAATACATATATACATTGTATGTATATAATGCTAGTAAAAGAAATGCAACTGAGAGTCACTGGAACAGTTTCTTTGGTATCCGTTCAAAGTTCACTTTCAGTAACGTAAGGGTACTACAGAGGCTGAACAACCCATGATCTGATGCACATCTCAAACAGGACATGACATCAGAGAAGATGGGTTAAGCCATTAAAACTTTTCTAACAAACACATTTTTTAATAGTCATGATGGGAACTACAATAAAGAAATAAAATGCAAAATTATATAGGCTTGAAGCCCCCTGCAACACTGTATGGTTAGTTTTTTTTAGGTAGGACCACTACCTATAGCTATGACCAGAATAAAATACAAGGGAAAAAATGCTAGTCAATTCAGTATACATGGGAAGTTGCAATGCACAGAATAAAGAGGGTGTGTGATAGAAGCCTCAGGACTTAGAATTCTTTCCTGGTAAACGAATTTCATGTTTAACAGTTTTATGCAGGACAAAGTCTACTGTGTGTGATTGTGTGTGTGTGTGTGTGTGTGTGTGTGAGTGTGTTAGTATGTGTGTGAGTGTGTATGTGAGCTTGTGTGTGTGTGTGTGTGTGTGTGTGTGTGTGTGTGTGTGTGTGTGTGTGTGTGTGTGTGTGTGTGTGTGTGAGTGTGTTAGTATGTGTGTGTGTGTGTGTCTGCGTGTGTCAGTGTGTATGAATGTCAGAAACATGGTCTGGACTCTTAAGCAGAAAACTAAGAAAAATCTGCACATGCAAATAAAAACAACAAAGATGAGAACAATGAGCAAAATTTAAAAAAAGATAATATCTGAATTAACTTAAGAGTTCAGGTGAAATCAAACCCACATGATGACTATATCAAGATACAAAAACCTTTAGTACGGTACCAAAGGGAATAATTTTATATAGAAGGGGGATCTACAAATAAACAGCAAAATCTACATACAAAAGCAAGCCATATATATATATAAAAGAAGCAAAAGAGCACAAAACAGTGACTGTGCATTAACTATGTCGGCAACACTACATGTATTTTCTCCTACTACGTACACAACATAAGCAGAATTTACGAAAGCTAAGAAGTTATAACATGATAGATAACCGCAGAATACACAAAGCTCAAGCCACACAACAATAACCTCAAATGGATAAGAAATCAATCTTCTGAGGACATTATTGTTCCCCAGACTAGGAAAACATTCTACATTGCAATAGGAAGAACATATTATGTGGGTCGTGGTGGTGAAATCAGGCGCTCGTCAAAATGATGAAATTGAAGATAGGCATTTTTTCGCCAGTCTGACAAATTGTTCGAATTTTTGTTTTTTGGCTCACCACCTTATTATTTGTCCATTTAAAAATACATTTGTGTGTGGATTTTACTGAGAAACATTGATTAAACGCTCAACAAATTTAAATTTTTAGTTTCCAAGTACTTTCAAGCTTTGGAAATTAAAAAACTTAGGCGGCCATTTTTTAGCTAATTTTACCTCTGAAACCAGGTAATAGTAAAATGAACAAACTCGAGGCTGATACCAATAACTCCACATGCCCAAAAAATTGATGAGCGCCTGATTCCACAGCATCGTGACTTATATATAATTATTGAACCCTCCGCCACATACAAGACGACAGAATAGGGTCAAGGGCAAAAGCTTGTATATATATAATATATATAATAAAAGCTGCTACATTGACAACATAGAACAGGCATGGAAATGTACAGAGGATAAATATATATATATTTGCTTCTACTCAGTCAGGGCCTGCTTTAGGCTGATAATAGAACTGATTGCTTCAAAAGGCACATCAAACACTTCAGTACCTTCCTGACAAAGAAATAGATAATAATAGTGAGAACTTCAAAGAGCGAAATATGGAAACTACCTAAAAACAAAAAAATTAAATTAATTTTTTTTTAAAAAGAAAGAATGAATCTAAATATCATAGCAAAGAGATGAGGTAAGGACACAGAGATATCAGTTGCAGTGTTGAGGAAACCTACTGTAAGTGCGTGATAATTAAATGCTGCAAAAGGAGGCCTAGCTGTAGATCCTAAAGCAGGCCCAGACAACAGTCTACAGAAAGCATCTGACAACAGTCTACTGGAAGCGTCTGACAACAGTCTACTGGAAGCATCTACTACAGCTCAGCTGTCCTATTCAACATAGAGGGTATATGTTCAGCACAATTTATCGATCGGCTCTTAACATTGCACAGCGCGTTTTAACGATGGTATAATTGCGCGACAATCTTAAGATTGCAGCGCGCATTTAAATAATCTTATTATAGTGCGGCTTTTCTGAAGACTGCTTTAATATTTTATATTTTTGAAATAATTATATTTTTTTTACTTCACCTCCATCTTTATTTTTTTTCTCACATCAAAGAATATTTACATACATTTCCAAAGTGTAAAATTATGAACATTAAAATTAAAATTAAAATTAACATATGAAACTGAAAAGCTCACATGAAGAATGATACAACTATACGATCGTTAAAACGCGCAGCGCAATCTTAAGATTACGCCGATCGGTAAATAGAGTGGAACATCTACACTTAGAGCGGAAGCTTCTTTCATTCACAGCTATGTGACGTGGACTCACGGATCAGGCTTAGGGCTCATTTCCGAAGGTGGAACATATTTATCTACATATTCTGAGTCTCCCGGAAACTTGACGCCTTTGGCCCGTGTAGGCTCCAAGATTTTCAGAGCATCTTCATACGTCTTGGGCCAAAATTCCAAGTTTGGAAGGCTCTCTGCTGCCGGTTCCTCTGATTTTTTGGTTCTTTGAGAAATAAACACATCACTGACAGGATAGAAGACACCTAGTACCATTCATGCCACATCCCAAACAAGTGTATAACATATTATAACATCTTTTCAGAAATAGATATCACAAATTTAATGATCTGAGTATAAAACATAAGCTAATTGTTCAAAATTTTGAAAAAAAAAATCATAACATCAATTTCAGTCCATATGTAACATTATTGAATTAAAAAAGAAGTAATATGAACAAAATAACAGAGATGAAACTGAATAAAGAGAAGGATCAATGCAAGGCAGACTCTTGCCACATATTCTTATATATACAAAATTGGATGACATGAGCAGACAAGAAAATAATACCACCATACAAAAATCATAATACACCTTGTTACGCCTTGTAATCATTTTTATCTCAAGCGTTTTTCTTATCATTTTCACTTCCCCATTATAAGCCATTATACCTCTTCCAGGGAACATGCATGACCGCAAACAGTTTTCCGGCAACACTTTATCTCCTAAAGCTTTTCACCAGACTTTTGCTGCCTCCCCCCCCTCCCAACACACATATACACAGTTTTCATCTTTAGCTAAAAGCATTATAATGTGTATTCAATTAACCAGTGATATGTTATATGGCTTAATTACAAGATTTTGCTGCAGATGCAATTTCAACATACAGCACAGGCAAACCTGCTCTATTGGCTACATGTCCAGGACAAACTCTGGGGTGAACAACCACTCTCCCCCTTGCATTTCTTGTATTGTATAATGTCACTGTCTAAGACAACCATTTTTCTTTGCACCAACAGGTGGACTTCTTGATTTACTTTCCTCCTCTGAAGGGAAGAGGTTTGAAAAGCAAACTAGGCACACATTATCAGTCTTGAGATGGAAAGCAAACACCTGCACTCCCACTCTCCACAAACTATTTCACAATCAAGAGTTTTAATGTAACAATGACAGTATTCCTGTCCACTTTCATGAGGTAGCAAGTTAACTACATAACTTTTTCAAAACACATTTCGCAATTTTAAAAAATCATTTCCAACTTACTCGTGAGCTCTTGCTTGATATGGGTACTTGATGTATCTATCTGTGTATTCAGTGATATCTGGAAGTTTCCCTCCTTGTTCCATTTTGCTGGTGTTAGATGTAATCGGAGGACCAAAACTCGAAAAATGTTAATGTCAAAAGGAAAGGAAGAAGTTCAGATGAAACGCAGTGTCCGGCCCTGGGGAAAAGACGTTAAAAATCTTATTTATAGATGTGTATCTTTTATGAACATTTTAAGTTTTGAAATATCAAAGTTATGTCCACTAAATCTGCAGGCTTATTTACGATACATGATAGCATATGCTGCTGCAGTCAGCTTGATCATTTATACACTTCTCTAATGTGATATTACGGTGCTTGTGAATTTGCGTAGGTCTAGGCTGATTCTTCTAAGAGTAAAGTATCTAACAAACTACTTTATTAACACGTTAAAAAAAAATCAAATATTTCCTAGACAATGCTCATATATAATAGATCTAGCTAGTGTAGATCGTACCAGGTTAAATTTCTCTTCCTGGGATTTACCAGAAAACAACATATTCACGAGAACTTTTCACATTAGCTAATGCAAAGAACAAATCATATAAAATTGGAAAATAAACGGCAAATTTTAACATTGCAAGAAAAATTTTTGATTCCTCCCTCACCACATGCCTTGGATATTTCTTCAGTTCTAGTGACAATTAGGCAAGAGAAAAACAAAAACCAAAACAATATATTAAGGCTATACACCTGGGCGACTAATAAGCTTTGACTTACAAACAATTTCTTTTTTTTTTTAAACCCAAAAAACGTGTAGTGAAGTCTATCTTCGAACCTTGACGGTCGAAAGACATGACATAAATGAATGGTGAATGACATGATATTATGTCAACAAACGTTTTTACTATCTGTCTCTCGCAATAATTCTTATATCAAAGGCAACAACGAAACGAGACGCTTTGTCACAAAAGAAAAGGCAGTGTATTGAATGGGGAAATGATTTTCATGAAGGTTTCTTTGCACTTAAAACGAGTTTGGAACATTTCTCACTCAGGCTCAGGGTCTTGGAGAAAGCATCCTTTATTTCACTTCTTCCCTAAGAACAAAACCGGAAGTACTAACAAGTTTTCGGACAAAATACAGCTGATCGTTTTCCCTTAGCAACCACGAGATACCGAAACAATTTTTAAAAAAACATTTTTAAAAAAGGGAATCTACATTCAGTTCTGTCGTTGTCCGTTGATGTTTTCCCAGTGAACTATTCTCTCTCCCCCATCATTGTAAAAAGTTATGAAATCTTCTAATTTGTACATCCTGCTTTCAAGAGAGCTGTCTCAGTCACGAACAGAGTGCACATTCTTTCCAAAAGTCGTGGTCATGAAACATTATGTTATGATGACAAAATTAAAAAATGCAAAACTGAATTTATGGCACTTTAGAATCTGTCACCTGTTTTTGTTTTCGTGTGCCTTTTTTGTGTTCGTTGTTTTGTTATTTTTAAAATCTATCAGGTCCGAGCTACATAATATTGTATTAGCTACTTAAAGATCGAATAGAAAATTGTCGAATGCGAAACGGGAAATGGAATTAAGGAAGGAAGTTGATAAAAAGGAAAACTGTTCAAAACACATGGTCCATGTAAATAAGATATCGAAAGTAGCTTTGTTCTCAGTCTGTTCAGAATGGAAGAAAACAAACACGTACGCGATCGAAAGCGGAAAAAATCATCCGAAGTCCCCGTTCCAAATGAGACTGAGGACAAAAAGAAACCCAGACATTCCGATGAGACCGAAACCCCGACGGTGATAACAGAAATAGAGTTCAAATTCCTTTTACGGGACTCTCAAACAACCGCTGAAGGTAACGACAGTAACGACCGTGTGTATAACTTTAGGCCTAAGTAGGGCCTAGATCTAGATATATCTAGCTAGAATCTAGATTCGAGACTTAGGTTAACCCTAGAAGCGCTCAGCGTTTCACCGGAAGTAACCCGCCAAAAATGCCC